GTTCCTCAAAAAATGAAAAATACCATACAATCTAGTAATTCCACTTGTGGGAATTTAACCTGAAGAAAACAAAATCACTGATTCAAAGAGATATATGCACCCCTATGTTCACTGCAGTATCATTTACAATAACCAAATATGAAAACAATGTAAGTGTCCATCACTAGACAAATGGATAAGAAATATGAGGTATATATGTATATAATGGAGCATTAGTCATAAAAATGAATGAAATCTCACCATTTGCAACATAGATGGACCTAGAGGTAATTAAGCTAAGTGAAATAAGACAAATACTGTATGTGGAACCTAAAAACAAAACAAATAAACAAAGAAACAAAACAGAAACGGATCCATAAATACAGAGAAGAGACTGATGGCTGCCACGGGGAAGGAGACAGGGGGATGGGTGAAATAGACAAAAGGGGAAAAAATTAGTTAGAATGTCTGATATCTTAATCTCAGTGACAGTGACATGAATATATACACATGTTCAGAATTCCTCAAGCTGTACATTAAGATTTGTGCATTTTATTGTAGGTATCTCAATTAATAAAATACATGTATCAATGAAAAGTCATTTAGACTAGGTTTAAGGAAAAAAGAATTGCTACATTTTATAAGCAACATAATAGGGATTTATGACACATTTTTTGAAAATTACTTCATACAATAATTAATAACAAGTGATAAATTATGCATTAAAATGTATTAACAAATGTTTCTAAGTGCTATACCCTGCTGGTGCATGAGGTAACTATACAGCATTTGCTAACCACTGTAAAACAAACAACTAAAATAAATCGCAGAGTTGGTCCTCAGTTGCCCTGTATTCGAATCACGGGAGAACCAGACTCCAATTTTAAAATTCCAATGTAAGAAGTTCTATGATTGCCAGTACTGCATCAGGGAATTCTTAAAAGCAAAGGGAATGTTTCATGCACTTAGTTTCATGCTGATGCCAAAAAATGCTTTCCTAGCCTTTTTTTTCCCAGTATGTATACTGACTTTAGTGCTTTTCGTTCAGTATACTGACTTTTATAGTACCAGTGTGTAGGCAGTAAGAAAATTTGAAAAGCTCAGTATATTAAAAAATGTAAGTATATTCACTTTACATAAAAATGGAGTTAGTTTTATTTTTCTCCCACCTACTCACCTCAAGCACTTTCTTCTGAGCATTTACATTTTTGTTCCACTGACAGCTAGCTAGCTACTAATAGCCTTTCAGTTAGGATTTAAAAGGTTGACAATGAATTTGCACCTACTATGAAGCTGGCTGATAACCCAAAAGTCAACAAACAGGCCTAAAACACCCAATATCATCAGAAGGCCATGCACTGTTTGAAGCCCAATGTTTTTTTTTTTTTTGATTCTTCAACCAAAAGCACACAGAACTATCACTGTTAGAAATGTGAAAAAGTATGATTTTGATGGGGGGAAGGACGGAAAGAAAAATAAAGTGAGTCGGAGAAAACAGTGCCATAATAATGGAAATCCTATGTGCTGACAGACAAGAAATAAAGTGAAAGAGAAACGACAGGAAAAAATATGAAGACAGAAACTGAGGGACAAATTTGTAGGTCATCACTAAGACTGACAAGCCCAAGCTGAGGGCTTCCAAACAGCAAAAGAACACATTTAATATGATCTATGAGAGCAGGAGGAAGAATGAGGACTTGCACACAGGAGCACACAGCACAGCTGCCGGAAGGGAGGCATCACCGAGAACCCAGCCGTGCGGATGCCCTCAGTTAGCCTGGTAATCACCTCTTCGGTAGGCAATGACACAAAAAGGGAACCACAAAGAGCAAAAGCTGGCAGTGCCCAACTCAAGGAGATTCCAAGAAGAGTTCCCCTGCTCAGAGACTTAAGAAATCCAATTTGTAATGGAATAACTCAATAATGGGGACAGACGTGTCATAACTAAACACTGAATCATGCAACTAAAACAAAACCCTTTCTGTGGTTCTACCTGCCACAGCAGCTAATATGTCAAAGGAAAGGAAAATAATGTGTTTTACAAGGTGAACGCTCCTATCTATGTTACATACATTTCTTAATACACCAGCTTTCTCATGTACGTAGACTTCTATAAGCTTATGGTCAATGTGAATTTGCTTTTGAGAGAATGACCTACACTTGTGGGGTGACACTGATAATACATGTCTGATCTACAAAGCTGAGAGCAAACGTAAAGGTAAACTCTGCTGTGAACCGACCCTCAGTCGGCTGTCTCCAGCCAGCCAACTAGCCGGCCTCCTCTGGTGCACTGACTCTGCCCTGCATTTTAATTAGCCTGCAACAAAGCCCCAAGGTTCTTAGGAAACAATGATTCCAAGAGCTAGTACTCTCCTAGGGAAGCTTGCAGTACGAAGAAAACTGAGCTATTAAGGATCATAAAAATAATGCCTCAAGTTTTCATTCAACAGATAAACACTGAGGATATGATCAGTAAGCAAAAATTTACTGACAGGCTGAGGGCCTAAGAAATCTCTCTCATGCACACACACAGAGCAATGACCAGAAGTGCTAAATAAATAGTGCAACAAGAGCTTATAAAAGGGATAAATGAAAGTCAAGAAAGGTTTCCCTGAAAAAGTGAAAAGTAAAGTAAAAGTATGAAATGTAATAATGAGAGGTAAAAGAGCTCTGGGTAAAAGGAACACCATGTGCAAAGGACCTATTGGGTGCTGTGCTAGACAGTGGAGGAAGGCCAGTGCAGCTGAAGCACAGAGACTGAGGAGGACGTGGTATATCTGACACGGGAGAGACTGGCCTTATTTAGACTGCTCTTCACCAAAACCAACGGAGCTACCACATAGGTTTCAAGAAAGGGGTGGGGAGATCACATGATCAGATTTGTTTTGAAGACAGCATACCAGCTGCCCTGAAGAGATCAGATTAGAGGTAGTGAAGGGTCAAGGAAAATGGCTGAGAGTTGGTGGGAGATACAACCTAGACTAGGATGAGGGTGCTGAGTAAACAGTAATGCAGAGATCTGAAAAATAATAGTGAATTTGAATTCTTTTTCAGATACATTTTTTTCCCTTGAAGTTAATTCTTTTGCCAATTTTCTTTGACACATTCTCTTTAATTTTCATGAGCTATTTTATAGTAATGACATTAGCTGTTTATGTCATATTTGCTGGATTTCTTTTTTCTAATTAGTTGTCCTATTTTTTTCCTTTGGCATGTTCTTCAGTTTTTCTGTAGATGTATCCATATTTTTTTCCCTTTGTAGTTTTTCTTTCATTTATTTTCAATTTCAACACCTTCCCTCCTCTCCACTTTTTTCTGTCTTTCCCCCCCACCTTCATACTAGAACATAAAAAATTTACGTAAGTGTAGGATGTGTATAGTTCATTCAGACATCCAGCAAACATTTACAGAGCACCTACGTTGTAGGGGAGAGATATATACACAAAACAGAGAAACAGGTACAAGTGTTCCCAAAGTAGAAAGCACTCTGGCTGCACACAGAACAGACACCTCCCCAGACTGAGAATTAGTCAAGACTCCCTGAAGGTCAAATTTTGGCTGTTCTGAAGGGGTCTAGAAACTAAGTGCAAGAAAAAAGAGCTTAAATCAAGAGTGGTAAATGACTATCACTCCTACTCTCGGAGTAATTTCAGAATTGAACGGGAAGCTTCACTAGTATTTTCCACGAATTCCCAGGGATATCATTCCAGGTAAGGTCTCAGACTACCTCAGAGGTAATTAACGGTAAAAGCCCACCAAATGTTTTCTGGAACTAGCACAAGCTTAATGTATGTTTATGAATATATACTAAATGCCTTCACAGTTTCCCTTTTCAATGTATTTAAAATGAAATCCAGGCTTAAAACCTGGCAGTAAAGCAATAACATATTTCAGTTTTATTTCCTACTTCACCCAACAAGTTCCCATCAATGGACAGTTATCTAACCCTATACCTTCCAAGAGGCTTCCTACTACCACCTCTTCCCTGCTTATTCCAGTACCTCTGCCTGGAATGCCCTCTTCCCCTTCCCTAATCACCAACTGCGATTCCTGCGTAAGATCCTTAAAAAACAAGAATATCACTCACCTCATTTTGCTCTGGGCATTATTCTGTATCATAGGCGGGTATTTCTTACCCTTTACTATCTGAGTATGGCTTGCCTGACTACTGAAAGTGTGTCATACACAACTACATAACGTATGAACACTGACTTACTCACCGGCAGACACCTTCATACCCACTGAATAAAGATAACAAAAAACTTCCTTTGCTGTAGCTGTGAGACCCTCATGTGACCCTTGCTTTCCCAGATGACTTTAGGTCTTCAGATAACCTATGACTCCCTTGAAGAGAAGCGGAAACTGGAAAGACGATGGGCGCAGAAAAGGTAGCCTACTGATATTGACACGTTATGGTGGAGGTGAGGAGACAAATGCCCAATTTAGGGCTGGATTTACTAAAGAGAAAGAGAACTGGATACAGCACTCAACAGCTTTCTCTTAAAATTTCCGTGTGAATGGGGAGAAGACATGCGGCAACGAACACACACAGTTATACCGCTACGGTCTCATGCAAGAACAGCCGTGTGTCAGGAATACCCCATGGGTCTCCATCCCTCCCTCCCCTTCCGGCGGCCAGGAAAGGCAGGTAACGCGGAGTGGCAGTTTATTAACTGTCCGCACCGTGTGCCTCACGGACTCCGGTAAACACAGCTCTCACGGCCTTGGAGGGAAAGCACCACGAGCTTCGTGTACAGACGAGGGCACCGGATGCAGGGCCTGGATCATCTCCCCAAAGCCCCCCACGCACAAACCCACGGAGCCGCGGGGCCAGACACACGCCCCTCGCTGCGGCCGCCGGCAGCCCGAGGGGGGCCTTCCCGCCGCCGCCCTGCGCGCCCCGGGAGGCCCGCCCGCAGCCGCGCTCCCTGCCCTCGCTCCGAGTCAGACCGCGCGCCCGCCCGAGGGACGCAGAGGGGCCGTTCCGAGGCCCGAAAAGACCCCCGGACCGCGGCACTTACCTCGCTGCTGAGGCTCGGAGTCCCGGGCCGAGCCACGACCCGTCCAGGAAGAGCCGCCGCCGGCGGCACGTGAACCGCGACGGCCGGACGGCGGCTGCGTGGCCACGCCCCCGTACGGCAGGCCCTTCCGTCCAAAACATGCAGAAATAGCTATTTTTGTCGTGTGTTTGCAAGAAAACCCCTCTGGTTTAAATATAGAACTTCATCTTTTATCTTCAAGTATTTAAGAAAAAGTTACAAATTCTGTCTCTGCAGTGGAATCGGTGTATATTTAGTCTAAATTGTATTGCTTGCTAATAATTTGAATGAAATTAATTAATTAATCAATAAATTCTGAAGTATTTTGCAGCATTAAATTCTTTCCTTCCTATGAATATATATTAATTTCAAAATACTTATTTACTTCCTACTATATGAGACCTTTTGCTCAGAGCTCAAGTAATTAAACTGTTTAATCTTCCATTAAATCATATCATAAGGGAACATGTTGGGGTACTGGGACTAGACCAACACAGAGCAAAATTTGTCTACAGTCTATTGATTGAATTTGGGATTGAGTTTCCAGGTGAATCTTCGTCTTCTCTGAGCCAAACGTATGAGGGGATTCCACATTTGATCTCTGAGTTTCATTCAGAGATGTAGGATCCTAGTTAGATGTAGAATTGAATGCCCTTCATAACGCACCTTTTCAAGGACCTACGTTTCCTTCAGCAATAGCCTTCTGCATCTTTTCTTCCTCGCTTTTCTAGACCATAGCTCTCCATAACACTTGGGGCTGCTATTATGTTTCCTTTTCCTTAGATGTGACCACTTATCCTATCTGATTCTACAGCCTGTGCACTTTATCTGGACCATGTGTCCTGTTCCATGGTCTGCTTTTCTGCTGCATTTGTTGTGTCGGATCCATACCGTCCAAATGTAAGTTGCTGTCTGAGTTACCTACTGCTACATAGAGCTCCCTTGGATGTAAAAGAACTTGCATTTGTCACTGACCTCCAGCTCTTGCTCCACCTCTCTGAAGTCATTTTCATTAAACTATTCTTCTTATCGGCTCTGGTCCTGTCATCATGTTGGGTCTTGTTCGCTTTCCTGAGCCCTATGTTGCTAACCAATATGATAATGTCCTGGTGAAATCCTTCTAACCATCTGGGTTTTACACTATGCCAGATTGTAACTACAATGGGAAAATAGGTTCCTAGCCTGGGGCAAATAACCTTTAAAGCCAAAATCAGCCAAAGGGAGAAATAAAGTGGAAGAAACCCATTTCTTGCTTACAAGCAGTTATCTGCTTCTGCTTGCCCATGTCTCTTGCAACCCAGCTGCAAAAGGGGCCCCACCAAACCTCTCCGGTCCAGATCTGCCTTTGCTCCCCCTTGTAATCACTTATTGATGTGGAGATGGACTACTTCTCTCCACCCCTTGGAAACACCTATTGTTTTGGAGATGCACTACAGGCCAGAGAATGTGGAAATAATGCACATGGAGAGTCTGGAAATATTGCAATTTTACCCACACAGACTTAAAATACAACTCAGATAAATACATTAAATTTCCACATTTCAGTGTCTTGTATGTCAGTTGTTTTTAAATCTATCTGTGTCCATATAGGGTTATATATCTCTTTAAGAATCTGATGAGGATTTTGGACACTCTTAAGAAAAAAGTACATGGAGAATTTATTTTGCATTTGGTTCCATGTGTTAGGAAGGAAAGGACTCGGCGTGGTGTTAAGGGAAGTCAGATACAGTGAGATGAGAGACCAAAGTCAAGAAAGCAGAGTCAGTTTTAATGCACTCAGCACAGAGCAGCAAAGCGGGCCTGCCTAAGATAAGACAGGCAGGCATGGATGCTCATACTGAGGCTCCTTTAAGCAGTTTTGGCAGGGCAGAGAGGTCCTTGATTGACAGCTGTCAGCTCTCTAGGCTTGTTCTGATTGGTGAAATGGGGACAGGGGCTGTGCTGTGCCTGTGCCTCTCATGTTTCTTATCTGGGAGGACCCTGGACATTTCCTGAGTCACTCTTGGACCCTGTGGCTTCATCTGATTAACTCTGAGTCATTTCTGGCTTTCTGGTTCTATTTGATCAACTCCCTAAGTCATCTTTCAGGGGCCCTTTCTCCTTTTCATCCCTGTCTTTCTGCCTAACACATGAATCCTCTGAAGCCCATCAATACATCCTTAAAAAATCATAAATCAGTTTCATGTCAAATGTCCAGAGACCACCTCCACTAGAAACACCTGAAATGTGGTTTAAAACTGCAGTTTCTTTAACTCTATCAGAGACCTACAATTTCAATATTTCTAAAGTGGGAGATATTTATGTTTGACAAGCAATCATGACACTCTTACATCTATGAGGATTTACAAATTGCTGTTGTAGGTCCTGAAGTAGTAACCATTTGGGCATGTTGGGCACAGGTGGATCATAGACACAAGGTTTGGAAAAATCTAGAAAATAAATCTCCCAGAAATCAGAAGCAAATCTGGACCTGACTTCATTAGCAGTGGAACAAACTTGAAAATAATGCAGGATCCCTCATATCTACAGAACTCACACTGACCTCCGTGAAACTCCCAGGGAAATCCATTGTTAAAAAGACTTGAAAGTAGATTATGAGATTCCAAGTAATTTGGTTACTCTAAATACTTAGCATTTCCCTTCATGGTTCAGATTCAGTTTTCCATTACTCAACCTGAAAAGAAGATAATGAGAAAAGTCAAGGGTAAAGTAATTGTATCACCACCATAGAGAGACAATGTGATTATTTAACAATCACATGAGAAAAGGCAGGCCTCAGCTCTGGCTTGCCTGGGTCGGGTCACCTTGACTACTCTGAGAATTCGTGCACTTTATAGAGACCTTTCTTGCCCTTGCACCTTATCTATAAAATGAGAGAATGGGTGTCCACTGTCCCTTCCCTTAACATTTATTTCTGCAATAACAATTCACGGAGCACTCAATAAATTTTGGAACTATTAAAAACGAGAAAGGTATAATTTTCACTTTATTCCTATCTTCATAGATAAACATTCATTAATTTTGAAAGCTGAGATACCTCTTTTTTTGCCATGTGATCTAATTTTAAAAAGCATTCTAATCATCTTATTATTTATACATAGAGTTGTTTGAATGGCTCATCAGATCCAACCTTTAATATTGTTATTCAAGTTTAAAATATATTTTAGTGGTCAACACTAAATAATCCGTGGGATTCATAATGCTCTTCATTCTCTGATATATTTTGATTGTTGCTGTCTTCTGCAAAATGACAGCTCCATGAAAGCAGGAGGCAGGAGATTCGATATGTTTTGCTCACTACCTTACCTCTAGTACTTAGAGCAATTCCTGGCACATAGTGGGTGTTTAATAAATACTGGCAGATGAATGACTCAATAATACATTTATTCCTACTTAAAAGCTGAATGTATCACATTTTCTCAGAAAATGAGTTTACTGTTCAAGTGCTAAATATCCTCTTATGTTTCCTTTGGACAAACATCAAAGCATATTTCAGAGAAAACTAGAGACACAGAAATATGTTCAATTACTCCCTCTGGATAAGAATAGCACTTCCTGATACAATGAAACATAACATCCTCTTAACTTTTCACCTCATTAAAGAGGCAGTGGTCACCACAGGCCTTCCCATCGCCACAGACTGATTGGTAGGCAGACTGACAGTTTGTATGTCCAGTTGGGTTCTCGTTGCTGGTACTGCCAGTCTACAGTAATGTTTAAGACCATTAGGTGAGTATAGGGAACTTAATTTAATTCTGATATTGTAATAAAATTAATTATTGATTAAGCATTGTGCGAAATCAATCATTCTGCTGGTCCGTTGTATTTTTATTTAATCCATGCAACAATATTGAAAGGAAAGTATATTGTGCCTTGTGCCCTATTGTATAGTCTCAGGCACACAAGGCATTTAAGTGACAAGCCCCCAACAATATGAGGATTCAATACCCACGCTGGGATCCAAACCCTGAGTTACCTGATGCTGGAGCCCCTGCTCTTACTACAGGCCAGACTGCTGCCACTTTAACTTTGTAGACAAGCCTTTCCCTACCTGAGGAATCAATAATTCAGGAAAAGTCGCATACATATACAAATACAAAACACAAATGGCCGTAATTTTTTGAGCCTTTCTTATTTTATATCCCATGAAAGAAAATGAATCAGGAGGTAGAATTTTGCAGAGTTCAGTTGAGTAGTGCTTGAAGCATTTTCTCAGAATCAAGGTATAGAATGACAAAAGCCTGTGAGCATAAAGAAGCTTTGACTAGCAGATGAGGACAGAGACACTACATGGGAGGGTGAGGAACTTCAGCAGAGGGCTCAGCATTCGGAGAACCGAGGAAGATGAACAGGTCTCTTGGTCTTTTCCACTGGTTCTAGGTAACCATGCTTTTCACACCAATCCATTACTTTCACTCACACATACTCTGTGAAATGGACAGGGTTAGCATCCCTGTTTCAGAAAAGAATATACAGCTGAGAAATTTTAAGTGACAATCTAAACACTCAGAAACCTGCTGGTGGTGACATTAAGGTGTGGACAGTATGAGTGTTCCTGGGAGACACTGCTTCATGCCGGCCAAGACACAGACCAGGAGAGACAGGCATATTTCATTTGAAAGGGTGTTGAGGAATGGTAAGTTATGAATTTAAAAACTCAGTTTCTGTTAAGATAATGTGACGTAGGAAGTGTTCTGGAAAACTGTGTTGGATGTATTAAGTGTAGTGTCTAGGGTCATTGTTAAATGGATTTAGGAGTCTGGTGGTTGGGAGAAAGACTGGCTAGGGAGGCAGCGCCCAGCAGGACTGAGAAGGGAAGAGATGAGCCACGGATGTGCACATGTTTGCAGTGATGGCTTCCGAATATCACTTGTTCACTCATCAGACAAATAGCTCACGAGAATCTATTATATACCTGCCTTGTTCTAAGATCTGGAGATATCATTTGAAAAGAAATGTCACTTTCTTCAAGGAGTTCATGATAAAACTGAATAAACAAATCAATTACAGAGCGATATGACACAGTCTATGTTAAAGGATATCTTTAGATTTTGAATACTAATTCATAGAAAATCAAAGGATTCTGTACAATGTGGATGATG